AAAGTTTACAGATTTTAATCCGAAATTATTAATATAAGGAGCAAGATTTTCTCCGGTGACAAAATACATGAATTTTATATCCCGGGTATGTTTTAAAAATTTGTAAAAATTGTACGGACTTTTCATAATGGTCAACTGCCTGGAATGATGTTAGGTAAACTTAGGAAAATTAAGGATTCCCAAATTTTTTCTGTAAAGAACTACTCATTTGGTAATCATGCTAATACATTATTTTACAAAATTTTTATAAATTTTCAAGATAAAAATATTTAGGATGTAAAATTTACGTATTCTTCTACCAAGCAATAATGTTCACAATATTGTTGAATAAGGGGATTTACCACCGGCGATTTGGCTTCTTTAGCCCCAAAATACCTTTAAATTGACTTTATTTTCAAAGAGTTCGACAGCATTTTTCCTATCTTGCCTTAAATCATTCAGTAGCCATCATGTTTTAAGAATCTGATAAGACTTTGCTAGAGGCAGATCAAAAAATGTAAACTCGTTCGAATGGCTTGCTGCGTTCACAATACACGGTATTGTCGAGATGTGTGGTTTACCTCGCAGTGTTGGATTGTGAATTCTCCTCATGTGCTGCTTACCTACATTAAAATCTCTGTAGTGAAAACTAATGAGGTTGATATGCACAAGTCAATGACTCGGCTTATTAACACATTGTGTTGGAGCTCACTGCTTCTTTTTTTTTTTTTTTTTTTTTTTTTTTTTTTTTTTTTAAATCAAATATTTCTAAATGTACTTTGAGTAATAATATTACAGCAAAAATATTACAATAAAAAAAGTTCTGGTTTTTGTATTAAAATAATTCTTAAGCAATAATTTTGAATGGGTGACGTAGACCTTGGAAGAATGTATCAACTCTTATTTTTTCAGCTCATTTATTTACCGATTACCTATTTGGAAAAAGAAGGGTTTCGGTTAAATATTTTTCCGTGTAAATACACTTGTTGTAGGCGTCATAATATTTTATGCTTAAATGGCTAGTTGTAATTTGGACTATATGTATTGATTGTTGATGTTGCAAAATAGGAAAACTAATCAAAATTTTTCCCCGTAATTTTGTGTAATCTCTTTGAAATGAGTGAAATCCCTGGAAAATGCCAATAGAAACGGTTGGTTGATTCTGCTTTAACGAAAAAAAATAATAAAAAAATAAATTAATAAAAAATAAAATAAAATAATATAAAATAAAATAAAAAAAATGTGCAGAAACTGATAATGTCACAATTTGAGATCCGATCTCTCGACTTTAGCTGCTTCCAGGACTTTATGTCCACCTACCTTTCGTCCATTAAATAAATGTCCACCGCTATTTATGTCCACTAAACGTTAAGTCCAGTCTTTATTAAGTCCGCATGATTTAATGTCCAACCATGAATATGTCCAAAACTGTCCAAATTGTGGACATGTTATGTCCACATTCTTTTCTTCTCATTTAAATGACAGGAACCACCTCAAAAATAAATGCATACTACTACTACCTGCATTCTTAAAAACATTTCATTCATGAATCAAGTCATGAAAGAGAACAGACTCTAAGAGCAGATAAAAACATATGTTCATGTGTGCACCGTACGGATATGATAAGATGAAAACCAAAGCGGGAGCCTAGGAAACGCTCCAATGCCAAATTAAACATTTTTCAGTAACAGATGCAGTCAAAATTGAAAGTCCTCTTTAACTAGTTATTTCGTGCGCCTTCAATCTTGTAGGATACTGTGCAACGCCTCTGACGCGAAATAGTTGCTTAAGGCGTTGCGGCGCGGCAGGGAACCAGCGTGACACGCGCATAGGCGCCTACAAACCTAACGGGACACTTCACGCGTTGCGCAATGCGTGAAGTATCCCGTTAGGTTTGTAGGCGCCAGTGCGCGTTCTGCGCTGCTAACACGCCGCTCCGCTTAGGCTCTAATATTTAAACTCGCGGAGTCAACGTTTTTCAACTCATGATTTTGAAATGTTTGCACTCTCTGCATTGATTATTCACTTTTAAACTGATGAAAAATAAACATGTACTACCGGAAAATATAATGTGGTTTGTGTAAATATACTAGTGGTTCCATGTCAAATTTAATGATTTCCAAAGCATTCCAATTTATTCTTTTATGTTTTGAGCTTTTACTGTGCTGCAGCGTGGTGTAAGCGCAACCAAACGCTCAAAATTGGACGTATTTGACTCAAGGGGGTCGATGTACAAATAAGTTAAAAACAAAAAATTGCGTGCTTCTTAGTTTTTTTCCTCTTTTATTAATTTTTGTATAGTTTCTTTCATCACAACTACGGCTCATTGAGATTCACATCGATGCCATTGCTTGGAAAAGGTTTTACAAATATTTACCACGTTTTAAAAATGTAAATGTTTTTAAAATGAAGTAATTAATTTCATTAAAAAAAAGAATGTACATTTAAGGCATATTTTATATCGGAAATTTAAAGGATAGAAATGAAACCAAGTATTTACCAAAGACAATTTGAAAAGATGAATCAAAAGAAGAAATTAACATTTCATTAAAAATATGAGTTACGCCAACAACACCTCATTTCTCTCTTAATTTTCTCATTTCGATATTGTCAATATAATTTTACGCACGGACTAAAATATGACGCTTGAATTTGATTTTATTGGACTTTACATTTGTGGACTTAACTTAGTGGACGGTTAAGTATTGGACTTAACAATATTGCTTTAGAACCGTGGACGTAAAAATTGTGGACGAAAAGTCTGTGGACGTAAAAAGTGGACATAAAGTCCGTGTACCCTTTAGCTACATGAATTGTATTACATGAAATTACGTATGCGGAAAATGTATACGTCGCAGGCAATTGGTCAAACCAGGCATTTTGTCAAATGCCTAGGCGAATAGTCAAATAATCTTACATGGATTAAAATTCTGATTCTTTTGCTAATTTTAGACATAATAATTATTTTCTCAAGTTGACAAGGAGTTTCCGTAAAAATTGGCATCATACAATTGTAAATAAATCAAATTTAGTCCTTAACGAGCTTTCATCTCGGGATTTTCAGCATGTCATATAATGACGACTTTTTAAAATTCTGAAAGTTAAAATATATGAGGAGCATTTTGAGGGCAAAATACAAGATTAGTTGGTAGTTTTGATGGATTATAACTTTCAAAACAATGGAAAACCAATAGTTCCTCGTCACATACATACAAGTCTTTGTATACCATCAAAATTTGCGTATCTCCCTAGGCATTTGATGAAATGCCTGATTTGACTATTTGCCTATGACATATATTTTATTTATTTTTTTAAACGTTTCTACTACGCGGGAAACATGTAAGAGAAAGATATAGTTTATTTCGTACAAACCTCAATGAGACCCAGTTTAGTGCCCACATGGAAACAACTTGTGTCCTGGTTCTCAAAGTCGGCTTCGTCCCCTAGGTTCCACCATCACGAGCAAAAATCGCACAAGTGCGCAAAAATTCAAAGAAGAAACACATCCTACGTGGGCCCCCAATAAGAAAAAAAAGAAAGAAAAAAAAGAAAAAAAAGAAAAAAAAAGAAAAAAAAGAAAAAAAAATACGCAGAATTTGTCTGCGTCTAAAGTTCGTTAGGTACTCTTGCGGGCGGCTCAGTTTTCCCCTCTGAAATGAGGTGAATTTAAAATTTTCAGTCACTGAGATGGACCGATGCACGCGTGCACGCAATCATATATCGTCTGGGGGTCGATTAAAGAATCGTTATCGAATAATGTTGATCGATATATACCATTGCAAAGATAGAGACTCATCTATCGAGTCAGTTCCATGCAGTAGTATGGCATGCTTTTCGATATATCGATTGATATGCCATTTAAAAGAAATAAGAAATCTATGGAAAAGGATCGATTAACAGGGTGTTCGCAACGAACATCTTAATAATCGATTCTACACCATAGCTTCAAATGGGAAAATATCGCTAATCGATCATTCACGTCATCGGTTCGATGACGATTTTACAATCGAACCACTGGATCCAAAGTTCTAAAAGAGAATGTGCTGAATTAATTCAAAAGCGGTGCTTTAGAAACTATCGCCATCATCACCTCTGTAGTTAGGCAACAGTGTTCGCGTTGAGGGAAAAAAGGTGGAGTGCTTTGATATTTTTGCTCTTCAAAGCAGCAATTTTTTTTATAAAACTTTTCCTTCTTCCACTAGCGTATAGCGATTGTCTTCAGGGATGCCATTCGTACTGTCATGCTAAAAACAGCACAGCATGTCTGCCGTGCTAAGGGAGAACTCCAAGGGAACATTCGAGAGTTGCCAAATTTCTCCGGATAAAAGATGTATTCATGAGGAAAGTATATTTTTCCGTGAAATTTCCGTGGAGCTATGTTCAAGTTTCGAATAAAATCATCTGAAAATTCGAAAAAATATATTCAAAATTTTTCCAGTACATTCGATTTTTAGTAAAAGAAAACTGGCAACGTTTAAAGGCCCATGCGGCGTTTTTCATTAGCACAGCAGATGTGGAGAATCTTTTTTCAGAGGAACGCAACGGGCAATCTTTCGTTGAAAATATTTGACGGGAATTTCGCTTGACGGATTAATTGGATTGCATTTTGCGAAAAGGAACCAGGAGCATTGCAATGTTGCTAAAATTGTGCATCTTCTTTTGTCATGGAAGGAAAACCTGATTTTCCATTAACAGTTTCTACTTTACTCACTAAAAACTGTAAATTTAAGACAAAAATTATCATGTTAATTTCATATTTCTTCATGGCTTCAGTAATTTTATTGCCAAGGATGAAGTTGCATAATCTTAGCACCATTGCAATGCTTCTGGTTCCTTTTTGCAAAATGCAATCCAATTGAACTGGACGAAAATGCTCTTGGAAATTTCAGGGAGCGCGCATAAATTACGCAAAGTAGTTTTTCGGCATTTTGACCCCCTCTTCCCACTTCTAACGCTTCGTAACGCGACCGCAGACCTTTCTCTTTAAAAATTACGTAACGTTAAAAAAACAACAACAACACTGGTTACTTACAAAAACATGTATTCATCATTCAAAACAAAAAATAATCAACTTTGGACGGTAAAAAAAATAAAATAAAATAAATTAATGATATGTACAAAGAGAGCGAAAAATCCCCGAGAATCGCAGTGCGGTGTTTGGAATTTTGCTGGAACATAATACAACACCGTCAAATCAAAAAATTGTATTAATCATGAAGGAGGGGTGGAAAATCGGCTCTGAGTGGCAAACAACAAGGGAATAACTGGAAAGTGCGTTCACAGAGATGGTGCGAGGTAATCGGGTATGGCGGCGTAGTGTTTGGAGTGCCACCTGGCGTTTATGTCTATCGATTCCAGGGCTTGTTTAACGGAGAGCCCGGAGAATTTCAGGTACTCTTCGTGCTTCTGGGTGAGTTCCTTCATCTCGTCGTACTCGGCTCTTGAGATCATTTGGTTGGCGAGGACTTTGACGTAGCTGCCCATTCTGGAGTTCTTGGCGCCGTGGTAGGCGAAGATGTCGGCCACGCGCTGCGCGAAGAATTCCTTGGCGAGGCTGAAGCCCACCTCGTTGTAGGCGACCGACGAGAAAACGGAGGCGGCGTCTTGAGATCGGATCCCGGAGGTCTTGTCGATCGACCATTCTAAGTATCGGTTCAGGAGCCAGACCTGGACAGGAGTAAACATGGGTAAGGTTATAACCAGGGAAAACTGGTCTTGGAAAAAATTATTTGCACTGAAAAAAAATTCTCGGTGTTTTTACCAAGGTCCGTTGGTACCTTTGCCACCTCACTTTTTTTACCAATTATTGGTAATTTCACCAAAGCAGACCGGTAAGCTTACCAAAAACCGGTATTTTTACTGTTTTTTTCAGGTAAGAATACCACTTTTATTGGTAATCAATTCCCGGTAACTTTGCCATTTTATCTCGGTAATTCTACCACAGTCGATAAAAAATATTGGCGTTTTTACCGGGGTCCAGTAAAATTACCAAAAAATTTAAATAATTTTACCGAGAAATCTCGGTAAAATTACCAATTCCATAAATGGTAATTTTACCAAGAAAAAACTGGGATCAAATAGAACCCTGAATTCTTAGTAATTTTACCCTTTTCATAGTAAATATACCGATATTTTTTTTTCAGTGTGGTCAATCAGCAACGTCCGATCCCCAAGTAGCACAGTGCAACAAAAATATTGAAATAATATTAGGATTTGTGACAGTAAAATTGCAATTTTTCACCATATTGTTGCAAATTCGTACATAATTTTCTCAATAAATGCCGATTTTGAATAATCATCAAAATGAGCTCCATGTGTCAGAAAGATGGCAATACGCAATACAATAAAAAATTGCTATTTGTTTCAATTGTATAAAAATAAAGTTCATAACGAAGTGCTCCTTCAATCAGTAGATAGGCAACATACACATCACTTCGATGAAATAGCAATAATTTTACCATGTAATTGCAATTTATTGCAATCTGTACTACTTGAGTCAATCGTTAATCGAACAAATAATTTGACGATTGATCCATCTTATCGGGTAGAGAATTCTAAGGACCGAGCGTATAGTCAGTGTTGCCGCAGCAATTTTAGTGATAGCAATTTTTTAGCAAATTTTAGTGAAGCAGTAGTGAAGCAGTCGCTCCCAACTCTGGTCCTAAGTAGCATTTTTCAACGGAAAAGTCGCGATATTTTGAAATTCTTCCCTATTTTGCGATTCTTTACGATGTTCGGGCGATAAAATCGCTAAGATCATCAACACCTGGACGATGAACCATATCCTGTCGCAATTTTACCTCTGTAAAATCGCGTTCGATAAAATCGGAATTTTACGATTTTTTGTTCAATAATATTGCAATAGATCGTCGTAAATAAAATCGCACTTTTATTGCACATGTATGTGATGAAATCGTAATTTATCGATATGTTTTATCGGATAATATCACAATAAATCGGCAAAATCGCAATACATTGTCTCTTCTCGAAATAATCAAATAGAAGAGGACATTCTGAAACACCACGATGGAAAAACGTGGTTTTACACTTTAGTAATAGATATTTATTGATAGACGCGCGAAAAATTATCGCTTAATATTAGCAGGATTCGCTAATTTTTCATTTAAGTTTGAACTATTCTACAATGTCATCAAATTGCTAAAATTATCAACTGTAAAATTTATCTCTCGTCTAGTGAAAGGATGGTGACGGAGAACTTTACAAGAAACGAGGGAATACTAACTCTCAGAAAAACTAAGGGAGGATAAGCTGGAGCGCATTTAGGAAAAAAGAACCAGCGCAATTACGGTATTTCAAAAATGTTGCTTCGTCATAATTATCTAAAAACTCTCCGAGATTAGCAAATAGTTTTTGCTTCTCACCAAAAAATTGTTAGCTTTAAATGAAAATAACTGTGTAAATGTTCATACTGTGCGCACATTAAGTATTTTTAAAAATAAATAAGAAGGTGCACCATTTTGAAAACACTGAAATCGCGCTAAATCCCTTTTCGCTAAATGCGATCCAGTTACTGTGTGGCGGCTAGGTGTCGCAGAACGCTGTAAAAGCGACTCTTATGTTTGTACGTAAAATTTATCTCTACCGATAATAAGAGTCGAAAAATAATAATTACAAAGAGGATTATGAGAGAATGAAAACAAACCTTTCTTGAACATCCGAGGGCGGAGAGTATGGTAGACTTCTCTGTAGCCAAGTTGGATTTGAGGTATCTGGCCCAAAGGAACGCCCATTCCTCATCACCGCCGTTCTTAATGGTTGTGCAATAGATTCGGCCCCTGATGTCTTTCGGGATTGGGTTGACCGTATCTGAGTTCTTGTGATTATACCTGTAATGAATCCCGGGTATTTAAGTTAGTCATCTTGCATTTTATGAGTACATATAAGTGCATAAATTCTATGCAGTGATGAGGTCCGAGGTACACCAGAATTGGATCACATTTGGACGTATTTCTGTCAAACGGACCTAAGCGCCATAGGGGGAGGAAGGTAGAGGGAGGCTTGGATTGACGGCGGAACCGGGCGCCGGGATCATACCGTTCTATGCTCTCAATGCTTTTCCATGGCGTTTAGTTCCGTTTGACAGAACGCGCTATCCGGCATTCGTAATTCCTCAAAAGGAACTCAAATTGGCGCTTAGTTCCATTTGACAGAAATACGTCCATTTAGCAAAAAGGAACCAGCGCAATCACAGTATTTTCAAAACCGTGAAATTTCGATTTTTGTTTTGAAAATACTCAATATATGAAGAGTATTCAAATGTGAAGACTTGTTTTTCTTTCAAATGGGCCTGTTGCAAACTTTTGCTAGAGCAAAACTAAGAGTTGTTTCTTATAGATAATGCCTCAAAAATCACGATGAGCGCATCGGCAAACTCTGAAATGCACTCATAACTTCACAATCTGCGTAAGAAATTTGCG